TAGGCCTATGACAGAAACCTTTGCGGGGCTGTACTCAACAGCTTCCCAAGTTTTCATGGCGATTGGGTGAAAGATGCAGTAATGCATAATAATATTAGAGAGAAAAATGTTTTTCACATGTACAACTGTATGTGGCCAGGTCACGCGTTGGATAACCTTCTGATTTAGGGGAGGGGGGGGGGGATTAACAAAAAGCCAGACCCTCACACACCCCCACCTCAATGACTATTAATAATGTTCAATTAATTCTAAACGTTCTAATTCATTTCTAAATAATTATATAAAAAATAATCTTACCTGCCCTGTTTTGTGAATTAGATGTGCCTAATACTATGAAAGTAAATTAATATGTGTTGACTAGATCTAGTGCTGTCTAGTGTCTGACAAAATGTGCTGAAGTGGTGAATCGTACGGTTAGGAAGTAGTTCATAAACGATACATTTATCTCCTCGATACTTGTGAGGTTGAGAAAGAGGGATGGGATAGGGGTCGGCTCGGGAAAAAACTTGAAAGGGACAACAAAACGCCTTGATCTATGTACGTCAGCATCGCCCATTGTAAAACTTACTCAGGGGAGATAATTTGAAGTATAGGCCTTAAAAGTTTACTATATTTCTTGTAAAATCAAAAACAAGTAAACGTATATAAAACTGAAGTTTCTAGTATTATATTATTTTTTAAAAATTATTTGTACGATACAAGATAGTACAGGATACAAATTCAACCACTATCACAAACACATATTAACATTGAAAAATGTACAATGGATTTCGGGTCCCCTACCAATGCCGCAAATATGAACCGCGCATCATGAAAGTATTGAAAGCCCACTTCATATGTAGCGGCTTTTCGTGCTATGGACTTTGTTGTTTTTTTTAAAAAGAATTTTGCCGGCGACAGCGTGTGTTTGATTGTAGGGAAATAGAACTCGGCCTTGACGATGGTTAAAAAATACAACTATAAATAACTGTTTTAAATATGTAAAGAATTTGTCGACAATTTTTAACCCCCTTTTTGGTCCCCATCCCCTGCCCCATCCGCCACAGTATACTTTGGAGGATCGGTCAAACAGTTACGTGTCCTCTATTTAGCTATCAAAGGGAGGGGGGGGGCAACGAGTCAAAGAAGTCATTCAAAATTTGAAGAGTTGCCTATATTTTACACTGTAGTTTGTGTAATGGATTTTATCTTTTGCGGAAGAGCGTGGTATAGTGACTGTAAAATAAAGATAATCGTACCGCAGCTACAGTGTTTTTCTTTTACAAACCAAATATTATGGCAAAAATTAAATTCAAAATTAAAAAAAAAAAAAAATTGGTCAGCCTTGGCCCCTAAACGGCCTCCCCCCCCCCCCCCGCGCATTGCGGGGTCTGGCGGGACTGTAGTTCCGCCCCTGTTCATCAGGTAAATGAACAACTACTGACTAGTGTCTTTAACAAAATGTGCAGAAGTGGTCAGTTTACAGTTCATAGACGGTTCGTTAATCTATGCATTACATCTTATTGTAAGAGTAAGGGTGTGGTGAGGGGTAGAAGTGAGGGGTAGGGGGGAGGGGGGGGGGGGAGAGAGTTGGGAAGGGAAGGGGACAAGAAAGCGCCGATAAACATCTACATCAATAGTGCCGACTTTTTCCGATCGTCTAGAAGACCAGGATAGTCGCCTCGCCGCAACATTTCCCCAGCCCGATTTCAAAGCGTACCGGCACAGTCAAATTTCAGATGCTTCGTCTTTGAAGTTGTCTATATGTCTGGCGGTCTCTCGAGCTATAGTCAGTGCATTTTTCTCAAAGACGTTTGCCGACTATCGTGTTTGTTTGTAACTGTAGAAGAAAGATAACTCGACCACCACCTAATTTATTTATTTTTTTAAAAATAATTTAGCCAGGATTTTTGGGCCCCCAATTGGTCCTGGCCCCCCCGAATTGCGGGGTCTGACGGCACTGTAGTTCCGCCCCTGGGTGGATGTGTCCTCTTATAATCCGGGAAATACTACATGTATGATTGTATAGAAATATATAATTATAGCATATTATTATGAAAACACTGTTTCATTACGTCAATGTAGTTAAAAGTACATACAGAATTGATGCTGTTTATTCATAAGTAAAAAAAAAGATTCTGAAAATACGGTGCAGGCGAATTATAAATATGTAGACCTATATGTCTGTTAGTTTTAAGACGTAAGCCCCCTACTTTTATACATATAAAAAATACATTCTTTGTCACTGTGTAATCAGAAATAAGGTGGAGAAAGATATCGGTTTTTATAACTGTCATCTTGAAGTGATATATGTAACTCTTTTTAAGCTTGTCACCCCCATACGCTACGCCTCTGTGTTTTAATTTTAATTAAAGTACATGTAAGTCACCTTTTGGAGGTTAAATTAGAGTACACTTTTATCACCTTTTGATCACCATGCTCAGCATTTTGCAGCTGTAACAAATTAGTGAAACGACGAAGAAACTTCACTTCTAATCAATGAAACGTTTTTAGGATCTGAAGATGTCTCACACTGTTTCAATAATCTAAACTTAGAAAAACAGCAGTGAAATTACTTTGTTTTAATGCTAATTAGGTTAAATAGCTGAAGTAATGTAGTTGGCGATCTTCATCACAAGTATATAAACAATCTTTAATAAAAAAAAAACATCGCAAGTAATACGGCAACATCGTTGTAGAACCATCTGCAAACAATTATAATTACACTGTTATATTTACACATTAATCTACTCAATATTCTGCCACGCCATCATCAATACATCTATAACTACCTAACATCGAATGCACACTAGTATGTAAAAACCTATAGCTAAACAACATCGGTTACGCACTTGAGCTACACATTAATAACTTCATACCATTATCACAACATAGATTTCTAAACATAAACAAAACCAAATTTACATTAATTTTTAAGGTTATAATTTGGCGCACTGGGCTATCCTATGAGCGCTATGGTGCCTAATTTCGTTTTAAACAGTGTGATAGACTATAGATAGGACAAGTAATTATAATCTTTATAAGTTAATCGAATCCGCGCGTCTTACGGCGCCACGACAGGGTTCTACTAGGCGCCCCGGGCCTTCACGTGTTCACTATGAAAACACTATCAATACATTGGGGTACTATAGTCGTTTACTACGTTGAATCAGGCGGTTCTGCATGCACCTCAGCATGGCGCGATTTGACGCCTTGGGCTAGACTCTGACCACTTTGCGTTTATGTTAATTTTTATGTTTTTTTGTGTTTGGTTTGGGTTTGCGTTTGTGGTTGGGTTTGCGCTTGAATTTGGTTTGTTTTCGTTTACTTTTTCGTTTGCTTGTGTATATTCTTTGTCTTTGTGCTTGTGTTTGTGTTTGCGTTTGTGGTTGTCTTTATGTTTGCGTTTGCTATTGTGTTTTCGTTTGTGTTTGTATTTTTAAATATTTTTTTGGTGTTTTTTTTTTATTTGGCTGTGGTTTGGGCGGGCAATGCTGAGTATATGTTGATTACTAAAACACACATGTCATGGTCCTCTACAGATCGATTATTCACAAAGGCCAGTGCAGGGCCTGCCCAGGACGGCTAGTTGTATATATATATATATATATATATATATATATATATATATATATATATATATATATATATATATATATATATATATATATATATATATATAGGTAAAGTCCCCAAAAATATTTTCTGCGAGGGGGCCTTTTTGTCTTTTTCCACCACTGGTCGCCACGTTCTATTAACATGGAGATAATCTTTATGCCAGATAATCCGATCGGTGCTTAGCAAACAAACTATCTATTCATCTATACCGGCTCATTGGATTATCAATAGCTGTGGTTATTTCCGTTGTAATTTATGTATTATAGCGATATAGGCTAACTGATAGTACTTCAAAAACATGTACACGCTGCCCAGTCAAAAAATGTTATACGGGTTGCATTTATAGTAAAGGAATATGATTGGCATTATTTCAGATTTAACACTGAATGTACGATTTCTGTCAATGGATTAACGCTCATCCGTGTTACTATAACAATAGGATTAGCCTCACAAGAGATTTGTAACAGGAGTTTAGATTTTTTAATCCTTGCTTTGTATAACGGTTTTTCTTTAACGAACAATATACTTGTAATTGTAAAAATAGTATACACACACTGACCTACAAATACGCAAATGTTGTGTTGTAGCTGTACGAAATTTCAGGGGAAAATTGCCAAATGAGTTTGAAAGCAAACATGTAATCGCTTTGTACCGTCAGCTTTTTTAATGTCTTGAAGGTATATTTTCCCTAAACAGCCTTTACAATAATGGAGCAATACGTCCATGCAAATCTATCCACAAGACCTCCCCCCTCTCCTGGACCGAAATAAAACCAGACAGACCACATCACAGTTACTAGAAAGTTAAGAAGTCTTTTGGACGTGAGAGTATATCGAGGAAATGAAAAGCTTTAGATTTTCTGTTCCTGGGTGCAACGTTCACTCTCAAACTGACACCATCTTGGCCCGATCACATTATAATATATAAAAGCTCATGGGCGCACTTCTCTCTCTCTCTCTCTCTCTCTCTCTCTCTCTCTCTCTCTCTCTCTCTCTCTCTCTCCATCCCATGCGAATGGCTATCTCTGTTTCTGTCAATGATCAGATCACTGAGAAACTAATAGATATACCAGCACTTCCTGTGTGGATCGGCCGACTATCTCAATGATAATTGCTCCGACTCTAAGCAGTTTGAATCTATAAATAGAATAACAAAAGGAAGGAATCGAAATTTTAAACTGATTTCCGCCATTAAAAAAATAACATGAAACCTACAGTTCACGACACATCGCATAGGAATTTAAAATAAATATTAGGCCTATAGGTTTAATACATATTGCATAGAATATAGAAATTTAGATCTAGTATTCTGGTTAGTTGTTATTTCATGTTTATTAGAATATAGTCTAGAATCTAATCATACGGCTGCATAAAAAGAAAGTTTGAAGGAAATAGAATACTTGAATAGGAATCTAGAGAAGCGGAGGTAAGAAGGTTAAATTAGTAATTTACATGATTTTTATTGTAGTTTCACTGTTTGTTAGGCCCAATTATTAAATCTTTAGATCAGAGGTCCAGCTTGATCATGTGTGGTATCTATTGTGGTGCATTGGAATGAAAAGCCCACATACTTAAATATATAATCTAGTAGGCCTATACTATAACTGTACTGCCCTATACTTTAAATTTGTTGCCACAAGAAAAAAGCCTATTTACTATTAGGCCTATTAGTTATAATTTAATTAAATTGAAATATTTGTTTATCTTTATAGTTTATAGTGAATGCATGCTAATGAGCATTATTCAAGCTGCTGTTATATTTAGGCTCATAGGCCTATATACTCTATAGCTTAGGCTATATACTATAGACTAAATATTATATACCAATATTGTGCATACAACTTAAAGCATGTAAGCATACACAATAATAATTATCATTAGACCTATAGTAACTAAGACTCGTACTATTTAGTACTACTTTAATACTACCTTTAAACTATTAGGCATAATGAAATAATGATTAATGATTTTAGTGTTTTCCGCACTCGAGAGGAAAGAGGTTGCAGGGAACTTAGAGACTAATCTTTGCCAACATACTGGATTTCTGGTGATGACAATAGCAGCAGATAGTATGCGGCTCAGTTAATACTAAAAACAATTGATTTTAGTAATTAGTGGTAAGCTCTTTTTTAAAATAATATATTATAACATGGTATCGCAAAGGTTCAGGTTGTCCAATAAATGGTAATTGGAGTCAGGTTTAGGACTATAGTTTAATGCTTGGTTAGTAATATGCATCAAGTTGGGAAAGACAAAGAAATGGAAATACATAGAATTTAATGTGTTCATTCGCAAACGTTACTATTTAAATTTTTTAGGCCTGCTATTTATTGCTGAATAATAAAATCACTATACTTATTCACTATATTATGTTTAAATAATGTGAGTTTAGATCAGTCGAGTAAATAAATTTAATAGCAAGACATAACTAAAATTTACAATGAATATATATATATATATATATATATATATATATATATATATATATATATAATTTGATTGCTATTTTATAAAAGTATGTAAATCACAGAACAAACATAACGTTGTATTAGGTCTACAACTTAACAAAAATGCTACTACTTTGATGGATTGCACTAAATAGGGGTGAGCTTTAATTTAATAATTTGTGAGATATTCTTGCTAATCTATGTGTAAATTGCATTTCAGGACTATGAGTGTGTGTTTGGCCATCCAGATTTCATAACTAAAACTGATGTTCAATTACAAGAGATATTAATCAGTCTCCGTGGACTATACACTGTGCCTAGTTTCATCCTCAGGTAACTGTACTATAGGCATAACCCATTTTTTTAAAGTAATTATTATAGCAAGAGATAGCATTATATGTTATAATAAATATAATGGATTTTAATCCAAAATATTTAATTAATTATTGTCTTTTCTTAAATTCTAATAAATCAGTGACTTGTACAACATAGAGGGTATTATATTTGAATGATAATTGAAACACATATTGTTATAGAGCTCAAAACTATGTACTTATCTAATATAATTAATATACTGAAACAGTTTTATTGAAGCATATTATTTCATATTTTACCACACAGAGACTGATGTGTAAGCTTAAAGTAAAGACATCAAATCAAGGTATCAGCCATTAAGAGGGTAAATATTGATAGTCTACTTCATTAATCTTCAATATGAATGAACACAATTTTAAATCTATAATCTTTGCTGATAATGTTTGTTTCTTGTTATTCATCATGTTCAGTGCTTTATCTTTTCAAAGTAATTAGTTATAGTAAAGAAATATTAGAGATAGTAATATAAATTTGTAATTTATTTTTCTTGCAAGTTCCACAAAAGAAAGTATCAAAATATTTTGCCTTTATTTCATTTACAGAAAAACATTCAAAATCATATTGTGATACACAAGTCAAGCAAGTCTATGACCAGCATTTTGATACAGGCCAAGAAAAAGCTGGATACTTGATTGGAAGGGTCGCACTTCTTCTTCTTCTTCTCCGTTCTTAATTATTAGTGTTGAAGGGGATCGAGATTTATCTGCCAGTGGGTTTGAACTCGAGACTTTGTTCGAATTTATCAACCATGAGCTTTTTGCCGACTCGACCACGCCTCCCACACAATTAAGCGTTACGTGTCAACTGTTTATGCGCCATTGAGGCCATTGACTCCGATTTCAGCCTGCTTTTCTTTTTGGATTTGCTTCCATAGCCTTTGTCCAACCAAGAACAAACTACAAGGCAGCAGTTTTTTTAATTTTGGAGTTATCTCTCCTAGAAGAGTGGCTGTCCCCAGCTAACGAGCCTCATCTGCCCGAGGGTTCGAACTCGAGACTTTTCGGTTTAGCAACCATGAGCTTTTACCGACTCGACCACGCAAGGGTCGCACAAAAAACATGGGTTATCACTAGGGAAACAAGCTCGCAATACAGTTCACTGTTAGGACAGCAAGCCAAATACTTCTAAACTTATTTGAATCATTTTTGCTGTTTATTATAATTCATTAAATTGTCTTATTAAATATATAAATTTATATATATACACAATTCCTAATATAGAATTTCTAAAAATGTTTTATTATAATATTTAAAAATGAAACAAACATGTTCCCAGAACACAGCCACATAATGTCAACATGTTCCCAGAACACAGCCACATAATGTCAACATGTTCCCAGAACACAGCCACATAATATCAACATGTTCCCAGAACACACAAAATGGCAACATGTTCCCAGAACACACAAAATTTCAACATGTTCCCAGAACACAGCCAAATAATGTCAACATGTTCCATGAACTCACAAAATGGCAACATGTTCCCAGAACACACAAAATGTCATTATGTGCCCAGAACACACAAAATGGCAACATGTTCCCAGAACACACAAAATGGCAACATGTGCCGAGAACACAAAAAATGACAACATGTGCCGAGAACAATGCCCCTTACAGGTGACATGTTCCCAGAACACAGCCCGTAGTTGGCCTGCTATAAAAAGTTAACAATACTTCACTTTTTCCTTAACAATTTTACAAGCAGGTAATAAAGCCATAAATCTTTACTGTGGTGGATATAGCCAATAAAATAGGGTAACCTTCACTATATGCAATTTGTAGTTTTCAATGCCTGTCCCATGCATATTATTTAGCCCAGTGTTTTGGGCCTTGCTTTATTTACTCAATAAATTATATAGGCATGAGAATTTTCATTTTAATCTGCAAAAGCTACATTCTGTACATTATTATTTTCAAACTACATCATATATTTTTCTCTTCTCTGATAAAAAATATTCCTCATATTGTTTGTGTCAAGTATTTTATTTTTATCTATGCAATTTTATATTCTTATTTTATAATAATTACTTTTATACAAATTCTTTTGAAAACTGTTCTTTATTGATTTGTATCATTTTCTTTATTTCTGAAAAATAAAACTTTGTTTGAGAATCCTTTTTTTGTTTCTGAACAAATTAATAAACATAAATACCTACCAGGCTTAATATCCAGCAACATTAAACAATTAAGTAGGGCATATTGTTAGTAATGGTAAATTTTATACTAATTAATGTGATTTCTCCTGGCCACCTTGTTCTAAATACCTTCAACTGTGTCAATGTTGCTACCAACTCCAATAATTAAAACTGAAGCCATTTACTATGATGTAAAACTTGGGTGTAATCCAAATCCACCCAGTTGCCGGGGGCAAGGTACCAAACATGATGTCCAGTAGAGGGTTAAGAAAGTATCATTATTAAATCACTATTAAACCCCTCCTCGCCTACGCCATTGCTTGTATGCATATGGACGTTATCGGAATTTACTGTATTGCTTATAAGTCGAAAATGCGAAAAAGACACGTTTAACATTACTAGTTTGAAGAATAACATTCATGTTAGCCGAAACAGGTGTATTCTAAAGTTGTTTAAATTCATTTTATTGTTCATTATGATTATGTTGTCGTAAAATATAGGCCTATTTAAAAAAAGCATAACTAAAAAGTGTTTTAACGCATTTTCCTCTTAGAAAAGCCTCACATGCATGATATCATTAACATTACGGCAAATCAAACCCTTGAAGAAGCCCCATCAACCATTCAATTATTACGATGGGCAACAAATAAAACGCCCGCATCAAGGTACAGTCCTTATGCTATCGACATTAGCTCAACCCCGGCAACTAACGTGTCCCAAAACCAAGAATTGAAATCTTGACCCATTATTCTGATTAATTAGTGGTTAAACATCTTTAGGCATCTGATAACGTTAGTTTTTAATCTAGTGTACTCAAAAAGGAACAACATAAAGCTTTATGCCGCCTTAAAAACCCAATCCCATGTTATGCAAGGCGTCGATAGAGAAAGAATAAGGCTTTGAGTAGAACAGGCAAGGGCTTAGATAACTGCCAAAATACCTAATCTGTAGACCTCACAAGTCTAGACGATATATTTGTGCCTCTGTTTTTAGACTTTCAGAACAAATACATGTGATGTGGTCAGTAGGCACATAAAAGAGAAAAGTAGTTTTAATCTAGAGACTTCAAACATTTCTGAAGGACCGAATTTGAACTTGTAGGCCGTGGTGTCGATGCCAAAGTTTAGCGTCGTCCGCAAAGATAAGCTATCTTTAAATCATCTCTATGCCCATATTGTGACAGATATTTACAAATGTGTCTAATATAGGACAGAATACATAGCTACTCAACAGAGATAAGCGCAATCACTTTTCCACGACTTAAGAAACCACTGTACTGCAAAACCCACCTAAATGGAAAATGTCTTAGATGTGTGTTTTAATACAAATGTGTACCTCGTCGCGAGTTAGGACCTGTAGGTAGTCTGTTACTACTCTATATCTAAAAACAATAAAAAGATAACGTGAATTTTACTTGTTCAATTTCTTGGTTAACTGTATTTGTTGCATCTTGTTCAATTTTGTTAATATTGATTAACCTAAAGGGTTCAAATGTAACAAAGAAAATTGTGAATAAGTTTCCGGGTGCGGGTATGCGGACACTAGTTAAAGTAGGCCCTATATATCTATTTATATTTATAGAAATGAAAGTATGTTTATCTGTTTGTCCTATATGAATTACTACACCTTTTTCTTTTTCATCGGATCGCCATAAAACTTTGTGAACAGAGTTTTTTCCAGGAATCTATTCGGAGGGGGGGGGGAAGCAGAGCCCCCCCCCCACCCCCCCGAAGAAAGTCTATCGACCCCCCCCACCCCCGAACGAAACGGAATTTATATAGAAAAAAATACTTTTAACAGTGTCCGCACGCCCCCCCGGAAAGATTTCGCCAGGGCGGCGCCCTAGCTGGAAGCAGAAGCGTAGCAACCTATTCCGGCGCCCGGGGCGAACTATCAATTATGTGCCAACCCTATTCAAACGCTGGCAAAAAGGCGCCCATCCCTACATACACTCCCCTGTATAAAATAATTGAGGATATCAGCCATGTATAAATCTGTTTTCTTAAATTTTACTGAAGAATGAGGATTTTTTTAAAAATTGTCTACCCCTTTTGGCGCCCCATTCGATCTGGGGTCTCTGACAGGAAGCAATGCAATTTTTCTCCATAAAAATAAAAGCCAGATGCAATTTGGCACTGTTCGTACGAGAGTCATAAAATTTTGGGTAGTTGGTGAAAAGGGTTTCGAGAAAGAAAAAAATTCTTAAGTGTGGCACCCTGGGAGGGTTCGATTTTTCTAATTATACGATTATGAGCTCAGAATCCAGAGGGGAATCCACAGGGGCTATCTCATCAATTGCGGTCATAGGTAATACTAGATTCAGCAGAGGCGCAGCGAGGGGGGCGGGGGGTACATATGTCCCCGGGCGCCAACCCTAGGGGCGCCAAAATGGTTGGAAAAATTTTAAAGCTCATTTTAGCTATAATTTTGCATTATAAATATTTAAAAAAATACGGGGGGGGGGGGGCGCCAAATTGAAAGTTTGTCTCCGGCGGGAGGGGGGGGGGGGCGCCAAATTGAAAATTTGTCCCCAGGCGCCAGGTATGGTGCTACGCCTCTGAGATTCGGTGATAAAACTACACCAGGTTCATCCGCCAGCTCCCCGGCGGTTGAGTGGCCCAGAGCGGCCAAGACCCACCTCGGGCGACACTACGGTTTAGATGGGTTACTATAAATGTTCACTAAGTAGAATAATGAGCGGCCGCCGGCGCCCTGGCAGTTGGCGACAGCGAGCGCCCCGGGCTCTACAGTGAGTGCCTCCTTAAAGAGCACCCTACAATAGGGACACGGTGGCACACGACATTTTATAATTAAACCGAATTAAAGGCGCCCCTACGGAAATATAACCAGTGGCTCCCAGGAGCGCCAAGGGACGCGTCTCTAACACATGGGCGGTCGCCAATGTGTGTTCTACCTCACTATTACAGAGGTTGATTAACGTACACTCAAGGCTTTCATACAGTGAGCCTTGGTGCGTCTAGGCGGCAGTGTGGACAAACCCGCGCCCCAAAAACGAATATGTGGGTTTGTTTGTTTAAGCATTAACAAAGATTTCATTCGTTTGTCATTCAAATTTGAGAAGTTAATGCTAATACCCCTGTGGTGGTTTCTACGAAAAAAAATTCGATTTGGTGGCGCCCTGGCAGGGTTCCAT